GGGCCCAGAAAAGCTTCCTAGCACTGCCTTAAGCAAATTAAAATGTAATTGGGATGAGTGTCACCAAGGAGATGAAGCACCAGGAATGGGCCAGGTCTGTGAAGACTCAGGGTTGTAAGAAGCCTGCATGACCTGAAGGACATCATTTAACCTATTAGAGTTGCTTTCTTTGTAAAAAGAAGAATTTGGACTAAGTCTTTTCCAAGGCCTCTTCCAACTCTAATTTCTAGAATTCTGCACCTTCTTGCCTTAGTGTCTTTAATGACTAAATCAAGATGATGAACTTTGTTCCTGTGAGGGGTGAAGGAGGCTATACCATTGCCTTGACTCACAGTAATCAGGGTTATTGTTGTCCTTTGCTGCCCCCTAAAGTCCACCAGGAAAACATCACTTTCTGCTCTGTCAACATCAACGTTGGTACTGAAGACTGTGAATGGTTTGTGGTCCATGAGCACTACTGGGAGACCATTAGTGCCTTATGTGATAGCCTATCAACACCAGCTGGCCTTGGAGGACTACAAATGGAATGAAATGAAAATGTTAAATCCATTATGCCCATGATTCATGTGGCCTGGAATTTTGCCCTCACCATCAAAGCTACCAATCCAGACTGTTCAAGATGATCAAGTTGACCTTCTGTATGGTAAGCATCATCAAAAAGGTCTAGGTCACATGGACATGAAAAGGTCCAAAGCGAGCAACTGGAATGCATCAGAGAAGGAAAATTTCACATAGGAGGTTGCATTGGAGATGGGCTCTGAAGGAGAAGGACTTGTTTCTCTGCCTTCTGTCACCCTACCGGTGCCTCCTACACCTTTAGTCCATGACACATTGCCAGTTGCAGCAGGAGAGTCTGGTGAGGACTGAGAAGAATGCCTGGGGAGGCTGACTGCATTCTTGCTGTTGCTCAGCTGTTGAGGTTCCTACCCTTTCCTTTCAGTCTGTCTCCCTCCAGATTTGTGTGTGTGAGTGAGAGAGTAAGTGTGTCTCTATAGCATGACTCAATTCCAACTTCTAATTCAAAGAGCTGGATGGTCCCAAATCTATGTCTGGAAGGAGAAGGGAATGCTTATCCCTATGAAATACAAAGCCCAATATGTCAGTCAGTTCTCAAAACCCTATTACATTCATATTAATTCTTTATATATATTGAATATTAAACCTTTATCAGAGAAATGTCAGAGAAAGACATTATGAAGATGAAGATAAGTATCCGAGCAGTTATTATGAAGATGTTTCCTGATTATTTCCTGTCTAACTTCATTTATTTTGTTCAGGAGGTTTTCAATTGTATGTAACTGAAATTGTTTTTATCTTTAATGACCATCTCTATCTATTATTTAGGTAAGAATTCTCCCCCTAGCCAAAGTATTTCCCTTTTCGGTCCTCTTTTTTTTATGATATGACCTTTAATACTTAGGTCATGTGTTGATATGGAGTTTATTGTGATATATATTATAAGGGATTTACCTAAACCTAACTCAGATTGCTTTCTAGTTTTCCTAGCAGTTTTTATTCAATAGGGAGTCTCTACCCTAGTAGTTGCTGCCTTGGGTTTATCAAACACCAGCTACTATGCTGGATTGTTTCTTGGTATTGTTTACTTAACCTATTCCATTGATCAATTTTCCTAATTTTCAGCTAGTACTAAATTAAAAAATAATTACTGTTTATAATTTGAGAACTAGTATTACCAGGCTCCCTTAATTCCTGCATTTTTCATTATTGTTCTTTCTATCATCCCTACTTTCATTTATTTTCAAACTCTTCCTGTCTAATGGCTGCTTCCCTGTTGCCTGCAAGCATGTTTCTATCTCCTCATCCTCAAAAGACCATCTATATTAGGTGCTTCCACATACTTTTCTTCTCAATCTCCTTAGCTATAACCTCCTCCAGATCATGCCCTTTAATTACTTCTCCTTCTATACTACTTCACTTGGTGATTTCATCAGCTCCCATGGATTTAATTACCCTCTCTGTGCTAACAATTCTCAAGTCTACCTATCTTGCCAACCTCTCTATAGATCTCCAGTTTCACATCTCCAATTGCCTTTCAGACATTTCAAACTGTATGTCCAGTAAACGTCTTAAACTCAACATGTCTAAAACGGAACTCATTATCTCTACCCTTCAACCCTTCCCTCCTCTTGTCTTTCCTTTTTATGCAGAAGGCAACACTATTCTTCTAGTTCCTCAGGCTCAAAACCTAGAGTCATCCTAGACACCTCATTATCTCTCATTCCTCCAATCCAATCTTTTGCCAAGGCTTGTCAATTTCACCTTTGCAACATCTCTTGATTATGTCCCCTTTTCTCCTCTTACATTGTCACCCACTTTAGTACAGCCCCTCATCACTGCATGTCTGGATTATTGCAATAACTTACTCCTGGCTGCTTCCTGACTCAAGTCTCGCCCCACTCCAACACATTTGCCATTTAGCCACCAAATTGATTTTCTTTAAGTATAGGTCTGACCATGTCACCCCACACCTTCCCCCCAACTACTCAATAAACTCCAGCAGCTCCTTATTTCCTCCAAAATCAAACACAAAATCCTCTTTGACATTTAAAGTCCTTCATAACCTCCTACATTCCCAGTCTTCTTGTGCCTTACTACCTGACACATACTCTTTGATCCAGTGTCATTAGCTTCCTCGATGTTTCATGAACAACATATTCCATCTCTCAGCAACAAGATTTTTCTCTTGCTGTCCCCTATGCCTAAAATGCTCTCCTTCTTCATTTCTGCCTACTAGATTATCTGGCTTCCTTTAAGTGCCAACTTCTACAAGAAGTCTTAAAATCCCTCTTAATCCTAGTGCTATTCCTCTCAATTATTATTTCTTCTTCTTCTTCTTCTTCTTCTTCTTCTTCTTCTTCTTCTTCTT